AGCCCATTTGGTGTTCTGCAATAGATGCACAACACAGCTCTSGTCTGACTGATCACACCACCCAAGACCCAGAGAGACCACTGCTATTAAAGTGGTCTTTCATTATGATATCCAAGATAATTCATTTTATTTTGTTTTGAATGATCAAGGAAATGCTTAATCCAGTAATTCTTTATAATAAATTCTAAGCAGAGAGATGGTAAGTGTATGATTTGCCCAGTGTAGACAATACTAGGGTGCTTATGAATACTTCGTCCTACAGCAGTATGGCAGAATTTACAAAAATAAGGACTTTGGTGCCCTGATTTGGATATAAATCTCTCYGATTTATGTCCAAAATTAAATGTACCAAATTTAAATGTAAATTAAAACACTGAGAGTTTGTCCCGCGAGCTACGTTCCTCATCCCTTAATGTTGCAAAAAATATTTCTCAGCTGACACAAGCTACTCTGAAATATATAAAAGAAAAGTAATTTTTTACAAGTACAGTTATTAAAATTCCTGATTTAAGTTTCACTGGAAGGAGTGTGAATTTTGAGTTTTGTTAACAGCAAAGTATTAATGGAAGAAGGAAATAACATTAAAGATTTTGACTTTAACATTTTAGAGAGAGTAAAAAAACATGTATTCAGTTTTTATTTTAATGAACACATCACCTAATTCAAAGGATTGATGCAGATGAAATAGAATTTTGAATGCTCAAAGGGCATTTTGGGACAAACACGAAACTGGCATTTTATTAGGACAAATTCTTCCATTTGTTCTGCAGTGGATGATAATCTGATTAGCCATCAGGGAAACAAAATATATTTTTCTCTCAAATGATCAATAGAGAAACTCTCTATATATTTTTCAAAGAAATTAATTTATTTTCAATTCTTCAGTCAGTCATCCAGAATTTTATCAATATTCATGATGTCCTTAAGATTGTTGCTATCTACAGATTCAAAACCTATTTTCTAATAATATGAAATGGAAATGTGCAAATATCCCTTAACTGCAAGATATTTAAAATGAAATTCACATTARTATTTTTGCTTTTTATTTTTATTATATTTGAATATGTTGCTAATATTTATCATACAGAGAAACTGCCATGTGGAATAATTAAAATTTTATTCTGTGCTGAGCACATGCTTCATTCTCAAATTTCTCAACTGGATTTAACACTGGCTTATCAGATGACCGAATAAAGAATTTTTTTTTTTTTTTGAGTTATACCTAGGGCAGGCACAAAGTACAACATAAAAAATACTGCACTTGCCCTTTTTGCTTGTATATCAGCCAARATTTGGACACATCCCCATTTTAAGGATTCTGTCTGCTTGCCTGTCTGAATATGAGTGAAATAATGTTGAATTTTTGGTGATTTTTTTTTCTTTTTTTWWAAWTTATATGGATCACACACATGCATTCACAAATTCCATACAAATTTCACTTTAGATGTTTATGTGATATGTTTGCATATATGCATATACATTCTAAGACTGTGTAATTCAATAAATATGAGATAAGAAATATTAATTTCTTAATAATTAGCAGATGAGGTGAGATGATTAGCATTGACATATTCTATTTACAAATAGTGGCTAACAATCCTTGCAAGCCTAGGAATATTAACTACACACTTCTTGAGGCATTTCTTCTCAACTGCAAAAACATGTACCTTATTCATACATGGAAAATTTCATTATGGGTGAGTAAACTGCTATTTCAAGGAARTGTAATCTAAGTAAAAATAAAAAATAAAACATTCTCCCTTCTTTCAGGAACTTTGGCCTACCTAATCTCAGACCCCATATAATAATTCCCTTCCTAAACTACTTGATGCTTTTATCAAACTCCAGTCTGATTTTGATAGCAGGCTGTGGTTGTAGAAATGTCTCTTTGCAGATCTGTCTCTCGGTCTGCTAAGATTTCTTTCCCTTCAGGAGCTTTTTTCAGCTGTATGGCCTGAAGTTGTTTCAAAATGTTTCGTTTAGTGATTCTTATTGAATTCTTATGTGCGGTGCAAAGATTAACTTTACAAATTTCTCTAACTTTCCTCACTACTGAGAATAGCTGAGTTACATTGACAATTCTTGAGTGTTCCTTAGTTCTGAAAAACAGTCGTTAAGGGATGTTTTGTGAGGAACAGCTTTCAGAAGGTTTGAAGTTTTGTATGTGCAATAGCAATACAAGCAGCAGGAGGACAGTTCACCAATATAAAAGACTTGACTCTGTGCTTTCCTGAGATTGTCTATTATTATTTTAGAAATCCAGCCTGTCTATTATTATTTTAGAAAATCAGCACTAAGAAATGGGCTGCAAGACCATGTAGCTGCACTTTATCTTGACCTAGAGAAATGACCTCCAGGTAATAAAAGCAACTTTAGTTTCTTTACCCATATAATTTCTGCCTTGCTGATAAGACTGACAAAACCCATGTCATTGCTGATTGCTACAGATACTATTCTGAGATACACTTGTCAGTGAGTCAACTGACATTGCCAGCAAACACAAAACAGGTGATAAGAACTTTTATCTATACTGATTTTTACTGCATACTAGAAAAGCAGTGCACATGGACAGAATAYGAACTGGTTCTATTTGGTGTGAGAAAACTCAATCATTCTTTCAAGAAAATTCAACATACATAACAACAATAAATAAAATGTCCTCCAGCCTCTTAGAAGTCCACAGTCTACCCGATCTCCTAGTGTATAAAACCATGCCCTGTATACAGTAAACATGATAAATTGGCTAAATCAATTTAAACAATGTCAAATGCAGGAGAAAGCAAACATTTTTGTGATTTGTTTTTTCATATGAGATAATCAGAACAGTAGAAGAAAAAAATAGCATTGACACCCATTTTAATTTAAATCAGTGCAACTGGCATGTGTCTATTCTCTTTGGGAAAACAAACTCAATAATGTTTTCGTAATTAYAGGACTAAAATAGTAACCCTTGTCTAATGCCTTGCCTTTAATGCCAGCACAGGGAAAAGATGTGATGAAATGTATTACTGCTAAGAATCATTCAGATACCCTCAGATATAAGATGATGATTTGTTTCAGTAGCTTCCAAAATCCACAGGTTTCCTCTGCTCATACTCTGTGCGCTGCCTGCTCCCATCTCAGCCATCTCCTCTCCTCTCTGMATGTCAACACATTAGTTCAAGGGTTTAAGGACAAGTGATTCTTAAACTGATGTATAGTACAAATTGGAGGAGAAAGTAAAAGAAACACTATCATAATCGATACCTTAGGCCGACCAACGTTCTGTAAATTCAGTTGGCAGCTTCTGGCTTATCTCTTGTCTAGACTGCCATAGGTAATATGAAGTAGCAACTGATAAGAATTTTCTAATCTAGGGTATGGCTGCAGGCATCTACTGAAAATGCTATGAAAGGCATTACAGAAAAGAGCAATGTTTCAGAAGAAGCATTTCCTTTTTTATTTCTTTACCCGAAGAGCAGAACAATTTTACAGAACCCTTTTGCCCGCTCTCTGCCTTTTCAATGAAGAAGAGGTAAGGTTATCATTTAATTATAGGAAGAAAGAAGCTATTAGCATCTCAATTCTATAAAACAATATAGAAAACATTTTAATAATTTTTATTTTAAGCAAACTGAATGCTATTTGGAATTACTGGTCTCCAAAATATCAGGTAATCTTCTCAAGCTTATTTTACAGTGCTATACCTCCACAGAATTCAATGGAAAACCTTATTCCCCTTCTTGAATGTTATGGTGAAAATGAATATTCCAGAAAGAGTATATGGTCCTGGCACTAGTTAGCTTAATTTCACTCTTTAAATTCAACGTTCCTAAGTATCCCATCTACATGTTTCTTGTACTGTGGCAGGGATGGTGACTACTCCACTACCCTGGGCGCGCATGCACACGTACACACACACACACACACACACTCTCTCTATATATACATGTAAATATACGTGGCTGCGTATATATAAATGCACACAAATAATCTGCAAAATAAGTCTCTTTTAATTGTTCTGAAGGCAATTTTAAACACCTGAGCAGGAACATGACACTAACCCCACATAATCTAATTTTTCAACATTCAACATCAGTTAAAATAGATTCTTTACTATAGTAATTCAATCCCTGTTTCTTCAATGCTAAAATGGTAAGKTTTTTTTGTACTGTTTAAATATATTAACACAATACAGGACCGTCTACAATCCCTGTGGGTCAGGAGCTATAACAAAGTCATACTATACTCTGTAAAGGTTATAACTGTGTGCATAAACAAAGTTTCAAATACACACACATATATCTATATATAAAGACTATACATTTACTCTGTCTGAGAGACTGTTTYTGTGAATACCCATAAGACTGCATTGTGAGCCTCCACAATACCTGTGGTTGCATCCCCAAGAAGGCTAAATATGTTTTTCATATTTTTAAAATGCATTCTTAAATAGGGAAATCAATTTTAATATTCATTCTTAGATTTTTCTGTTTTCATTCTATTCAATTTTTATTGCAAATAGGCCAGTGTACAGTGAAAAGGAGAGAGGAGAGTGAGAGGAGAGGAGAGGAGAGGAGAGGAGAGGAGAGGAGAGGAGAGGAGAGGAAAAAAAATGAGAAAAATGAGGAAAAAAAAAAGAAAAAAAAAGAAAAAAAATCATCACATGTTCCTTGGTGAAACTGATGAAGTTATTCTGAGAAGAGCAGTTGAGCTCCACTGAAAAGAATGGATTTAACTTAAAAAGATTTGGCTTTCTTGCCATATTATTTTCTGCTTTGATTTTTTTTTTTTTCCTAAGGAATGTAAAACTATAGTAAATGATAATGGAGACTTGACTGGAATAGCATGTTAATGCCACAAGTGAAAATATCTGACTGTGAAGAATAGTCACAGAAAGGTACCTATAAAGAAGCTATAAGAACTGTGAATAAAATAAAACTCTTAATTTTCACATGTATGACAGACTATATGGACATATTCTGCATGTTATAAAAAAATGTTATAAAAGAATGACTTACCACTTCTTCRTGGGTAGCACTTTCTACATTAATACCATTAACCTAAAAACAGATATGATAGAGAGAAAATGGTTTGAAATGTTTGTTAGTTAATGAAATAAACAGAAAGATAAGTATGAAACAAACATGTCTGTGGAATAGGCAAATATTTACTGACCTGTATTATTGCGTCTCCTATGAATAACATTCCTGTTTGGTCAGCTGTGGAATTACAAAAAGAGTACATTTTAATTGAAAAAAGGTACTGAAAAATAATGCTATATTGACTTTCAGCACTTGGCTTAGCATGCTGTTTATAACAATCATCTAAAACTGCTTTGCTTGTGAAAATACCAATGGCATAGCAATCAGTCACCATCCTGTAAAGTTAATAGATTCCTTCCAATTTTAAGCAAATTACAAGAGTTACATTCCATGCACAAAATTTAACATGGAGCACAAGTGTAATTTCTCACTAATGAAGGATTTCATTAAATTATGTGGAAATTCACACTTTTCATTAGTCTTCTCCACTAAGGAAAATAAGAATTTCAAAAGCTACTTAGCAATTCATTCCCCCCAAACAAATTTACAAGGACTGCTATAATTAAAGAGGTTGTGCCTAGAATATAATACCACTCTTTAATATGAAGTTTGAGTTAGCTTTGTTCCTGAGAATAACGTAAGACATTATTTCACTCTGTAATTTGCATGTGCCCTGCCTTTACTGAATGGGAAAAAATGTAATGTAACTGCAAAGAAAACTAATTCTGTATAGGTACAATGACATTTCCTGAGGTGTACTCATTTATTTTTAAATTTTATAATTTTTAGTGGAATTGCAGTGTGTTTACCTCTTGAAATTCAGTATTTAAAAGTAAGGCTCTGATCCTGCCAAGATTGATGGGAACAGGTTACAGAGCTGTTTAGAAGCTAATGCCATCTTGCCAAACTATTGGCAACTATTGACAACTATTGCTGGCACTCTTACAAGCACATGTGCTTGTCTCTGCAAAGTTAACTCAAGATAAAACTGGTTTGACCTSGAAGATCAGAAGTATTTTGTATTTGGACTACATAAAGAACAGCATGAACTGTTAACAATGTGCAGATAACATAATGGCACCAGCCAAGACTCTATTAGGCACCTATGTATCTGAGCAAGAACTGGTCACCCTCAGATAGAGTCCTCCTTGCAATCTGGCATATGCATATTCATGTGCACATAASTGACATCAAGAATTGCCTAATATACCTTTACCATAGATATGTGATAACAATAGTAAACTTCAGATTTTCTTTAATAAAAGAAGTACTAGTAATATCAGTCTTTTTCTATTCTATTCACTTCACTAGGCAGGCAGGGTCATCACACAATAGAAGGCTGTGTTTTTCTTGTAATATTAGGAAGATTGGTAAAATCAGGGGCTGGGAACCTAGTTTGATAGAGACTAAATATATGCATGGGCCAAAAAGCAACTATTGATATTGCTGCTCTTAGTTTCAGTAACATGGAAAATTTTGGGAAAACTTGATTTATACCCTTCCCCCCCCGCCAAAAAGGCACATCTGTGTTCACAAATCAAAGGTATTATTCCACTATTAACTAAACGTGCAATTATTATGACAGAAGAATCTGTAAAGACATATCAAAAATGTTAATTCATTTGAAGAAATTAATGCAATTAATTAAGTGTTATTTAGTGCCACACTGTGGTGAACAGAAAGCACAAATGTAGACTTTGTATTATAAATATGGTTCACTTACTTTCTGTTTCCCTCTTCCCTTCTGCTGGCACGTAATTCTAAATAGAGCTTTATGGCTCTTATTTATTTACTATCTCAAGATTGTTGCAGTACGAAGAAACCAAACAAACAGAAGCTAAGCATAAAGAGGAAACTAAAGGACAAAAATAGGAAACTGTAAAAGTGTGAGACAAACTTAACATAATACTGCCATAAAAAAAGAGGAGAAAACTGTTCTAAATGCAGCAAGCTCTGACCTTACATAACTATAAAATTAACCTGAGTAGTAAGCTTAGCCTTATCACAATAGCCTGTAATTGCATCAGGTTCCAAAAGCTAAGCAGGATTAGGTTGGCTGAATACCTGGATAAGAATCTCATAAAATAACTGTTGCTGCAAAAAAATGGGTGCTTTTTAACTTGGTAAGTTTTCCTCAAGTCATAAATTCATTGTTAAACTAATGCCTCACTGTGAGGGTAAGTGAAAATATACTGCCAGAAGAAACTATGCTATTTGATACAAGACTATTGGACACTGCAGTTTATTTGCTCCCAATAAATTATGAGGAATTTGAGATGATCTATCTCTTTTTACAATGATAGAAATATTTGTCTCAATATTCTACTCAAACTCTATGCTTTATTTCTGTCTTTATTTCACCCAGAATAACAATACTGTTATTTTTCTTTTTTTTTTTTTTTGTAAACTATTGCTAAATAATTGATATTTTTTACTTTAGTAAAGATATTTAGCTACATATAATCCTAGAAAACAGCATCTTACAAAAGCTCCATCTAAGCTCCATCTTGAGCTCCATCTAAGGAATATGCAAAAGGTGCATACAGGAATATATTTYGTATTCCAATAATAAGCATATTTGTTCAGAATGCAACTAATTTAATATAGCATTAACATATTAAGGTAGTATTTGTAATAAATACAGATATTCTGCAAATAAAGATTCCCAGAGGTTAAGTTCTCACACTCTATGCAACCCAACCCATTTTCTTGATCTTTTTCTACGAGAAACCTAAGCACTGTTTTTTCTAATTCCCAGTGTTTAGAATGGAATAGGGGCTACAGTGAACTGGGAATTACATTAACAAAACCAAACAGGCCTCATGAAAAACAAACAAAATTTCACATTGAGAGCAGATAGATTTTCATAGCAGTTTTGAGGAAGACTTACAAGGGAAATTAAGAATAATAATCATAGAATAATAGCATCCTTAAGATTGGAAAAGACCTTTAGAGATCGTCTAGTCCAACCCCCCTGCACATGCAGGGTCACCTACACCACGTGGCACAGGACTGCATCCAAGCGGGTTTTGAAGATCTCCAAAGGAGACTCCACAACCTCTCTGGGCAGCCTGTTCCAGGGCTCTGTCACCCTCACTGTCAAGAAGTGTTTCCTATAGTTCCTGTGGAACTTTTGGTGCCTCAGCTTGTGGCCGTTTCCTCTAGTCCTATCCCTGCCCACCACTGAAAAGAGGCTGGCCTCTCCTCCTCACTGCCTCCCTTGAGGTATTTATAGACACTGATGAGGTCCCCCCTCAGCCTTCCCTTCTCCAGGCTGAACAGGCCCAGCTCCCTCAGCCTTTGCTCATAGGGCAGATGTTCCAGGCCCCTGATCATCCTGGTAGCCCTGCGCTGGACTCTCTCCAGCAGCTCCACATCCCTCTGGTACTGGAGAGCCCGGAACTGGACACAATGCTCCAGATGTGGGGCTGAGTAGAGAGGGACGATCACCTCCCTTGACCGGCTGGACACGCTCTTCTTAATGCACYCCAGGATCCCATTGGCCTTCTTGGCCACCAGGGCACACTGCTGCCTCATGGTCAGCTTGTCATCCACTATGACCCTAGGTCTCTCTCTGAGGCTGCTCTCCAGAAGGTCAGTCCCCAGTCTGTACTGGCAAGTTAATTCTATAGTTAATTCTAATACTTAAGACCATCCAAGCTGTTTTATGAGACCTTTAACAGAAATAGGCAGCTTAAGGGGAGATTTCCTTTCACAAGATATAAATAAAAAAGCAAGTTTTCACAATAAACCATTTATTAGAACATTCCACTGATAAAAATATTTTTATCTGCATGACTGGCATTGAATCCAACCTGAAAGGAAATTTACTGCRATGACAAATTTATAGTATTTTTCACTGCAAACTCAATTAATGGAACAAAAACAATTTTCTGATAAATATGGTTTTATATTTTATATAAACCAAAAAGTAAAAGGAGGCAAAAGGGTAGAGTGCAATTAGCAATTCCAATAGCAAGTCAACAGGGATCAAGGAGAAAGGTTTTTGTTACTTAAAAAAAAAAAAAAAAAAGTAAATAAAAAGGAACCTTTTGTTTTCCTGCAGTGATTTTAGAAGGCATATGAACTTCTCTGTCTCTTACCAACTTCAGAAATTATAAACTCCTTTTTAGAAAATAAATATGTTTGTATATCAAAAGCTATAATAGAAAAGCTTAAAAGCTAAGTTTCTGCCCATCAAACTCTTAACATTAACCGAAAGAGAAACTATTAAAGACTTTTGTATGATTTTCTTGTTGCAAGTAGGTTTGCAAYATCAGCCACATTGACATTTTATCAGATGATCTATGAGAAACATCAGCACACATGGTGATTAAAGTTTAGATCTACTTTAGGAAATTAGAGGAGAAAAATGCAAATAATTTGAATTTCCTTCAGAAGTCTAGGTATTTGTTCATCTCATCAAAAAACTCTTAAGCCAAGCTACTAACAATATGTTTCCCTCAGTGATTTCCAAGCAAATAATATTTCAGTGTGAAATCAGTGAAGAAAACCTGAGACAGAAAAGACCTTTTTAATTAAAGGACATGGTTTAATGTAACTTGATTATTTTTTCTTTTTCTTTTTTTTTTTTTTTTTGTGAGCAAAGAGAGTCTGAATGAATCCTCCCATGGATGAGCTGTTGAAAAGCAAATTCTCATCTTACTGTAACTCACGTGTTGAGTGGAACACATGCAACTGTGTTGAGTGGAATAAGTTGTAAATGTGTGTTTATATGAATAAATTTGTACTAAAGAAAAATATCCAGTTTTATACACATTTAGTAAATCGGTTCTTCCTCATTTAAATTTGTCTTTATAGGAAAACATCAACACTAAAAGTTACGAATCATGAAATTGGAACTTTAGTCAGGGAAATACTKAAAACTTCACTTTTCCAAGGAAACACATAGCAGCAGAGTAATGAAAAATGCACCACTTTTTTAATATATCTTTAGCAAATATGAAAAGTTACTACTGTTTTTATTATTTGAGAATATAAGCATAAATATAAAATATTTTAATATATGATATATATATGACTATAGCCAGCATGTTTGTTATTATTGAATATAAATATAAAAATATTCGTCTATTGAATGAGAGCTAAGTATCAATAAGCAAGTAGCAAAAGCAACAGTTACATTTTGTGAATAAGCTATGTTTACTGTTAAACAA